ATTCAAATCTTGCTCAAAATAACACAAAGTTATTTTCACCTAAAAAGAAATGGAGCACACAATAAAACGTAAGAGAAAACCTAGACAATTATTACGGTCACGATAACGACAAGGTCAACTCTGTGAAGAGTCGAATACAATACGGTATCATGATCATTTTATTACTTAATGGTACATATGGTACTCCTTTTGATAAAAAGATAAAAGTTTTTGTCAAGAGGTTTTATTTGTATTTTCTTCTTTGGAATTTGGCAACATGTACTTGATCTTTTTCATTACCCTTGTCTCTAAAGACCATGATTCAACATTTTAAGGGCAACCGCTCAGCAAAAACTAATCAGTAATATATTGCACAACCTTTCGTCGAAATGTTAACCTTCCTAGCCATGTGTGTCTATAATTATTCGTGTTTGAAAATTGTATTAACGACTCGCCTTGTTTTCGTCTGGCCTTAAACCAGCCGATATTCCATCTGCATATTAAGTCCGAGGAACCTGTGGGGCCAGAAGTCCTGGGCTTCTCATCACGTGATCGATGTTAGATGTTTACTACCACCTTTATTTACTCATAAATACAATCTTTCAAGCGAATATGAATATCGAATGAATGGGGTATAAAATAATAAGGTATATTCTTACAAATATATAACATAACAAAACAATTACCTGGTTTCCAAAAACCCCGATAGCAGTGGCAGTGGATAGTTCATTTGGTCCAAACCATACAGCAGATAAAAATGGTGGAAAACTGACAACGAAAGCATCACAAATAGCACAGAACCATTGTCCAATCATAACAAGATAAAATCTGTCGGGAGCCAGTCCAATACATTTAATCCAGGCTCCAAGAGCATTAATAACAGCTCCGAGTAATATATTCACTTTTAAACCATATTTATTTAATAACCATATTCCAGGTATTATCAAAGGAACATAAATAGCTAGATAAGATGTAGCTAACCAGTCAATTGTAGTCTGACGATGGAATTCATCAGACGGTAAACTTTCATTATAATACCTCTCTATTATATTTCCTATGATGCTTAAATGTATCCATTGATATCCGTTGATAAACGAATAGACACTAAATAATCCTAACATTAGCCAGCGTCTTTTATAAACTTTGACGCCATCTTGGACACCGTTCTCGTCTGCTTCTGAGCTATTTTTAGACTCCATATCAATGGAAACGTACAGCGATTATATTCCAACAAATTCCACCAAATTCACTATGCAATTAAATTTGTTATCAACTGGTAAAGTAAAATCATAATATCAAGTGCTTAGATGCTTTGTTAATAAACGAGTCATGGATGTGACGCCATGGTTGAATAAATCTCATAACGCACTCTAAATAAACACTGTTCAGCAGCTAACCTATATCTTAAAATTTTTTAAGAAAAATGGTATACTTAAACATACATTTTATGATTCAAGATAACGTAATCTCATGAAACCAAGATTATAGTATACTCACTCGTCTTAAAACACGTGGTTCGCCATTTTCGGAGGTCAATCTTAACTTGGTCTTTGGAAAGGGAATTGTTCAGCTAAGCTAGTTTGTCGTATAGTACCACGCATGTGATCACGCAAGTTCAATTTTTTGCGAACGCCTGTGACCAATTTAAACGAAACAGGAACGCTACGCACGCAACAATTAATGCAACTTAACGTTAGTTCTTAACA